CTCGTTTATATATTTTTTTCCTTCCTGCGTGTATACACTATAGTGATATCATTCTGCTTTTTTTCCCCCTAAATCAAGTTATGAAAAACCCTCGGAAAGCGCATGGTGTGTAAGCGCTAACTTATTCAAAGTTAAAAAATAGCCTGTATTGTTCCCCTTTTCAGGAATATAACCCTTTGCTCTTCTATTAATCTTTTCCCTTTTGTGGGTTTCGATAACTTTTTAGTCGAAGCTTATCTTTTTGAAACGGTGATGATTTGCCTAGTAGTAACGTGTTGTCTTGATGTCTTTGTATGACATTTAGCTAAGTAGTGAAGTGTATCGTATTTTTTCTAAAAACGTTCTTCTCGTGCCCTTTTCTTTGGTCATAATATGCGCGTGGGCAGATTCCTCATTCCTCATTTCTTTGATAATGATGACTCCGGCTCCTGCTTTCTTGCGACCTCACCAAAGTGTGTGGTGGAGGAAATCTGCCCCAATAACAGCGTAGTATGGTCAGCTGACGAACGCCTTCTGGAGGCCAAGACTATTGTAGATAGGGCTGCTGCGTTGCATCACGCACATCAAGAGCCTTTCAAGTTGTCCCGGATTGCAGCCTCACACGCGATGTCATGTCTATTGGCTCGGAAAGGCCACGCAACTCTTCAAGAAACCCCTTTTGCTTTTTCGGGAACACGAGAGGAGGCTCTCAGGGATTATGGTACCCACCTTAGCTTGTCACATGAGACATTCATTGGCGGTGCGCTTGCATGGTCTGCAAACCCTACTGGGACACACAGTACGGGATCACCTGGAATGACAGTATTTGCGTTAGATATTGTAGATGTTCTCGATGTGGAACGTGTCAGTTGCCGTTTCCCAGAGCGTATGCGCCGTTTGTTGACACCGCGTGTTCCCCTGTACGATTCCTTTTTAGAAAACGATCACAGTAACAACGAGGATCTAGCGCGTGAGTTGTGCATCCCTGCAGAGCTACTTTCTAGTACCTTAGATAGCGAAAATACTTTAATGAAAGCGTCGTATCCATCTTTCTCTGTCCTACACCCATTATATACAGTAAGTCAATGCATACTGGCGCAACGTTGGTCATTGCGGGAGTGCTGTGTGAAGCTGCTTGGTATTCCACACCGCGCGTTTAACTACGCTTGTGTGGAATGCGACGGGGGAATGCCAGAGGGAAGGCAGGGCTGTGGCGGGTTTCAGCGCAGTCTCCCTTCAGGCTTATGGCACCCAAACACACTCTATGTTACGCGCGTTGTGGGGGAGGAGCGAGCTGTGTTCAAGTCTCGTGGGCTAGTCCCTCATCTGCAAGTGATTTCCATGTTCAAATGTCTAAAAACCTTGGAGGGAGAGCTTCGTCCGGTTGTGGTCACCATGGCATCCTGCAAACGTCTGAGTTGCTAACGTTTGAAGTGAAGCAACCCTTTTTTTCGCCATTTTAAAGAAAATACTGGCGTAGACAGTTCAATATATGTTACATACACCATAGCTTCCATATTGTCTTTGTCGGCTTAACATTGAAAGAAATTGTATTTTCGTGTAGTTACATTCATTCTCTTTCCCATCTTCATATTTTTGACTCTTTCTCATTTGGTTTGTTTAAGCCTTTTCAACTAACCTACCTCGAACGTCGAGTAATAAAAGTTACCACAC